TCTAATGCACATACTTGCACATATGTATGTAGCAAGTATCAAACAACTTCGGCAAAGAGAATCAAACTTGATTAGAAAAATTCCATTCGAAGTTAGAAAATAATCAGAATTACTAACAGCATCAGCGCGATACATACGAATATAGAAATAAGGAGTGATTTCTCGTTCATTGCTACTCCCCCAGTTTAGTATCTGAAAATTAAATTAAACCACTTCTGCTTAGTTAGACACTATTCCGATGTGTATTGGAAATAGCTAAATTCACTAGAATATTTTAATAACAAGAATCATTCCCTGAAGCCGGAGCTGGTTTAATTTAAATTTAAAAATTTTAATAAGTTCTTGGCAGTTTATTTATTCCACTTCTGTTGAATACAAGGAAGAATTAATGGAATAGATGAGAAATAGTAAGAAAATTAAAGCTGGTAATTCATTATTTTTATAATTCGACTCTCTGGTAATCATAAGTAGAATTAGAAGTACATATTTACTAAGATACGGACTATGCGTCGACCAGAACAAAAATTCTTATAAGTATGTACGTTCGTATAAGATCTATAGAAAGCAATAAAATTCTCCACTTTCGCTAAATGTTTTGATTCTACATATTTGTTTTGTAAATAAACAGTCCCTGGCCTATAAGGCGGTAGCAGCTTTTGAAAGTTTCCTATAGATCTTATATATGTAGATGCACAGAGTAAAAGCTCTCTCTCATTGTCACTGAATTTTATAGAATATCAAAGCTTAACTAAGCAAAGGCATCGCTTGATGTTTATGCGTTAACTTCCCAAGAAGCATTACCGAAATTCAAAGAATTTTTTTAAGTATGATCATCAATGCTTCTGCATCAATAATATTCGCGTTGTATGTCCAGACCACCATTTATAGCAAAGGTAGTATGGCAAAGTTTCTATACAATCTAGTCTGGTTATCAACCTCATCGTTGGGTATCATATCAAAGACATACAATTAGACTCTCGCTGGAAGTAGTAAAATAATGCGCCTAAAAATATGCACAACATACGACACAGCGGTAATGGACGACACGCCATTTCTTTAAATGTATATGTACATATCAGCGTTGCCACTAACCTTTTTTTCCTCTAACACAATGTTCAGTATACTTTTGCTTTATTTAGTTCCTGGTTGCAATTTGGCATACCTAATGTATATGTCTGTAAAAATTCTGGAGGTATAGCCTCCCATATATCCTTGGTGTGCTTTCACAGCTCATGTACTCCATTGGACGGACTTGGATACTTAGTAAGATGCGCTTTTAGTTGATTTCGCAAATTCTCGATGAGATTCATACATGTCCTCGGATTGTGGAGGTCATTTCAAATTAGCAAATTTCTGCTTTTGTTCCAGTCTTTGCGAACATGTGCAGTGTGTTTTGGTTGATTTTTCAGCAGAAACTCTAATTTTTTCGGCTACATCTTGCAAATTTTGTTGAACGGATCAACAACANTGCTTTATTTGGGTCTTTGATCCAATACCATGTCCGGCCATCTGATTGAAAGCGATTAATTTAGTCTTGTCAGTCCAAATAACCCTCAATTAAATCTTAAAAATGTGTTTTTTATTGCATTCTGTAAGGCCTAACATATCCCAATAGGCAACGGTCCGGTTTTCGTGCGATGCAGCAAAACACTGCCACACTCGCACATGTATTTTGATNGCCGGTCCGTCACACTCAAAAGTTTGACGAGCACTGCCTTAAGCGCTTTTGTAGTAGTGCCTGCAGCGCTACTTGCTGCTAAGTTCACAAGATATCGGACTGTAATATATTTTGACAGACTTTCTTTGTCCTTAGTAACACTTTAGGCTATATTTTTTCTCAGTCTTAACATTTTCATGTGGCAAACTCCACAATTTTTTGCCACTTTCCCTGCGGTCCCGCCTTTTCGCAGTAAATATATTATTTACATTTATGTTTCATGGTTCACCATATTATTTATTGGTGATCACTTCTTGAATAAATTACAATACAGAAAAAAGTCATCTGACTTCCAACTAAGCAAAAGATAACTGTAAAATGCAAAACTGAGAGTGAGTGCAAAACTGTAACATTTGCCTTAACTTACATTTTTGTCTCCAAGGTTTTTTTATTGTTGTTGGATTGACCTCAAATCGTTATGAGAGCGGGAGTAGGGGTGTACCAATAAGAATATACAACAAAAGTATGAAAGTCGTTAGAACTATGAAAGATAGCGGTGGCTGAAATAAAAAGTGTTACATCATGTTACAGTTTTGCTCGTCACTGTATGTACATATGTAGTACATGTTCTAACCAATAAGTTTAACTTCTTAAAAGTAAATTTAAATCATTTAATTTCACGTGCAAATCTTTAGCAGCTGACCACACATAGTGCGGGTAATTTTGTTTTTTACAAGTTCCTTGCATAACATTATGCTATTGATAGTGTCAATCTTAAGTTTATTTCCTAGTTTAGCCGCAGAGCTATTTGGTAATGAAATTATATTAAAAACGAAATTGGCGAGATGCATTAAGCTATTTTTATTCATTACATTTTTAATAGAATAATCCTTTTCTTAACTGCCTTAGCTGGTGTTATTATTTGCAAAAGTTTTATATCTTCATGCTTGATATCCAATCTTAAATTTATTTGGTCCAAAAACTCGATGTAAATCTTTAATATATTGGGTTTAACTTCAAGGATTCCAGAACAATTGACATTACTTTTCACAAACATCTCAGCTTCCGTTCCAACAAAAATGTCAGATACTTTAACATGCTTATTTTCATTTTTAAAATCAGCATTAATATGTTCTAATCGCACCTTTTTTAATAAACTTACTCAAAATTAAAAGATGATGTGCTTTGATAGTTGCATATAAGTATGGCAAACGAGAGCTTTCAGATTGGAACTCTTAGTTAAGATTGTTAATTATGAGGAAAATATACGATAGAAATAAAAAAGAACATTCGGTTTTGCAACATATTCCTTCTGTCAGGTCTACAGCGCGCATACCGTTTACTTCGTAAAAGCAAGAAATAAAATAAAGTTTCAAACTATCGCATTGCTCAACTATTCTCAACTCAACGCGTCCTAGTCAAAGGCATCGTGTTTGAGATATGCCCGCCCAAGTCTCCAGCCAAAACATTGGCTCCATCAGTGGCCAAACCAATTTGGTTTCTTATTTTTAAAGGCGAGATTGGCAAATGTTTAAAAGGAACAATTGGCAAATATTTATATGCAAAATGATGTTTGAAATATATATTTTTATAATTACGAATTTAAAAACTTAATTCAACTATCCCACCAAAATCTTACTTTGCCGACCAACCTACCAAATGAAAAAGAAGCGACCAAATTTTTGTCGGAAAGGACCAATAGTGGCAACACTGGTACATATCGATGGCTGAGTGGAAGATCGACCTATCTCGGCGGCCAGTTCGAAAACATTCTATCTCAAAAAACTTTTCAAGAACGCCCTATTTCAGAATTCGTTTCAAAGACGCCCTATCTCAGCTGCCGATTCAAAAACGCCCTATAGCAGCATATTTTCAATACATTTTGAAGTGAGATAGGGCGTTTTTGAACCGAATTTTGAGGTACGGTGTTTTTCAATTAAATTATGAAATAGGGCGTTCTTGAAAAGTTTTTTGATATAGAGCGTTTTCGAACTGGCTGCCGAGATAGGTCGATCTTCTACTCAGCCATCGATATATTATACTAAACGTGAGCACAAAACATTTTGAAGGTTCATAAGTTGTACAAAATGAGTCACATTAATAGGAATCAAACAATACATCATCATCAAGATTCAATGTTGTGCGTGGGAAATATTCGGTTATTTGTACAATGTTATTTTGGAGGAAGCGAAGGGGGAAGAGGCGTGGCACCTAAAAGTCCAGTCATCAGTAAGAGCACAGTTTAAACATGAAGAAGAGTCAACCTTTGCCCTGCCCTTCGTACAGCCACATGGGCTGCCCATTTCAAAATGGGGTAAAGTCAGCATTTTCGCAAAGAAAAATTAAACGAAGCTTAATTGATTTAATTTGGTTGAATATAGGCCTAATCATGTACTACATTAGGGTCCAAATAAGTGAAAGAAAACAAATGTTTTTCCCTGTTTGTATCTCATTGGAACGTACGACTGTCACCTACGTGATGAATGAAAATACCCATATTTAACTGAGATATTTTTCTTTTTTGGATTATGACCAGCAAACAAGCGATATCCGTTAACAATAATAAACCTATTTTCAACCATTTTTCGTTTGAACCGCCGGAAACTTTTCAGAAATTTGCATAGAAAAGCAATAAGGACACGTGCTTGAATGCTTGACTGCGTTGGCGCTGAATATTTTGACAAAATCACTTAATTAACAAGCGAAATCCTTCAACACTTTAAATTTCACATTTCCTCTCACTTTCGCTAATTCATGTCCTTTTTAATTTCGGTTTCAGCTTTTTTATCTGGCGTTTAATTAAAAACATATAATCAGTGTTTGGCGATGCCGAGAAAAGGATTATTTGCTAATTTTGCCGCCGATAGACGCAAGTGCCAAAGGCAAATATCTGGCAGAAGACGAAAAGCAGATTGAAGGCTGTTGATGCTCATGGTTTTGATAGCCAAAAACAAATTCAATCGATTCTATTTTACCGAAAAAGATGGCACTCAAACACTGGCGATCGGAAATCGAGGAGGAAGAAAAGTAGCAGAAGCGATAATCGCTTAAATGGAAAGTAAAATCAGATGATGAGTACTACTGTGCAGCAAAGCAATCAACTATAACTAACAACTGCAATCACAAGAGTAACAGGGACTGACGACTGGCTGCTTGCCAGGAGGTCGAAGACCATTTTTGCTGTAATTTTTGTACGTAGACAAGGTTGTCCTTCTGACACTGTCATGCTCTGCGCTTTCAACAGCCCCTCACCCTCACAAATGCACGCCAACACTCACCGTCCTGACGGCAATGAAATTGCTGTCGAATGGTAAAAGGCTGATGACTACCACAATAGGNACCGAGCGATAAATTGCTGACCCAAAATTCATTCAATGTCTCCGGCAGCTATGTATAACAACAGCAGCTACAACAACAACAACAACAACAACAACAAGGCACCCAGAGACTACCATTTTAGCCAAACAAATAGGACAGCAGTTGAGTTTGCAATTGTCAGCAGCCAAAGAGGAGGTGGCAAATAGGAGGGTAAAAGATTGAAAAGGTATAAGGGGATACGTTTATTGAAATTTTCGACAATCATTCAACAATTTAAGCTGCATAAGCGTTGGAAGTTCTACTGCCCGTAAGACAGTTAAATCACTAGTCAATTGCAGCAAACACCTAGTGTAGCTAGAACAAATATGCCAACGGCTCAAGGTAGGCAGCTGATGAGCTAGCTGTTTGGGGCAAGTAAATAAGAAGAAGAAGAGTAGCATTTTCGTGCAATAAATCAAAAATTGAAAAGCTAAAAGTAGAGAAGAAACCTTGCAAAGTAACAAGAACAACGTGCAAAACTATTTTAGAGCGACCTTAATTTTGGCAGTAACCTAGCCGCAACCCAGCAGCAGCCGCCTCTCAGCCGAGGCGCCTATGATAAACGCACAATGTGCACTAACGTTGCAGCTACCGCAGCAAGTAGCAGCAACAAATGCAATTACAACAAAAATGGAACATACGAAAACTACAGATATAGCAATAACAACAACAACAATAGCTGCAGCGGCATCGGCAACGGCAACGGCAGTCGGCGTAATAGCGTAGCGACTACAATCGCGGCCAGCTTAGCTGTCATCACTTACTTTGGTCATCCGAGCGCAGCGCAAAGCTATACAAGCGCCTCGTCGACAACGCGGACGACTAGTGTGCCTCCCACGCAGAGCGAAGGTAATGGCAGCAGTTATGCGCCGTCAGGTGCGCCAACGGTCACAGCTAAAGCAGTCGCATCCGCATCCGCATCCGCTTATACGATACGCGCTACCAATTCGAGCACAATTTCCCCCGGGACAGCAACTACAACTACAACGACAACGACGCCTACTGTAACCACCCCAGCCAGCGTTCGGACAACTGTCAAGCGAAATGCGTTATATTTCAGCGATAATGGTTATGCAGCTGCAGCGGCAACAACAACAACTGCAACTGCCTTAGCCACCACCATCAGCCAAACGGAAGCGACTTTCAACGCATTGATGCTGAATGACACACAGCTAGATAGCGACAATATTTCCATGGGCATCTATGGCAACAGCAGCAGCAGCAGCAGTGCTGTCTTCAATAATCACACCAACAACCATATTAACTATACAGCGCTCAACATTACGGATATCGTATTGGAGAATAACAGAGATAAGTGGTTAAGTTTGTCGATATTCATCGTGAAAGGTTTCATATTTGCAATGATTATCTCGGCGGCGATACTGGGTAATGCGTTGGTAATCATCTCGGTGCGGCGCAATCGCAAATTACGGTAAGTAAATAATAAATAAGTATAGCGGATAATTGACGTAGGCCAATAGGAAGAAGAAATACCAAATTGCGTTGATGACTTGAGTGTTGCACATGACCTTACACCTTTTTTACAACTTACTTACAGAAATCGTTATAACTTAGGGACTACATACAAGCCTGGCGCAGTGTCCACATGTGCAAATATATAAATCAAGTGATTCCTGCTTAAGGAATTATCACCTCTTTTCACCAACGCACAGAGGAATATTTGCATAGTAAAATCGGTCAAAATTATTTGGTGTGTGTTTTCTGATAAGTAATGAAAGAAAACAAGGAACTTAATCATAGTTAGGCATTTATATGAGAAAAAAAGGCTAATTACATTTATCTTCGGTTCATTTTCGTGACATATTCATCGATTGAATACCCTACTTCAGAAAAATTCAAAAACGCCATTCATATTTTTAGGGCATATTTGGATCGGCGAGTCCGGATATGCCCTCCGTTTTTTCAGGTTGGCTCACATTTACGAATATAATTCCGAATTGTGTAGAATTTTCAGTTTCTAAAATGTTGATGCTTTCTCAATTAAAATTAAATAAATAACTTAAAAATATAAAAGAAGAATGCGGTAAAGTGTGCTAAAGACCTATACGTTCTCGTCGAAGCTGAGTAGAGCTGAAATTTGAGGACATATAATTCAGTAAATCTGAATACTCAGCTCCGACGAAAGCATTTGAATATCGAGCGCTCTTTTCAAGTAAATAAACTTTCTGTTTTTTGTTAAAAATAAATTTTCCAAAGAGCTCCATTTGAAATTATTGAAACGAATATATCGTCACCTGAAATGCTAAAAGACGTAACAACATGAAATGGAAAAAGTCGTGACTAATATATATGTATATTATATTTTTTGGTTTGAAGTACCTCAAAATTCGCGCTGAATTTTAATTTTTTTTTTTTTTTGTTGGAGGCATTTCGCATTTTCATCCACATAAAATTCCTATGTATGTATGTTCTAAAATGCATCCCCAAAACTTTTATAAAAAATGTGATTAAAAAATTTAAAATTTTTGATAGCAAATTTTTTAAATTGGTATAGCATTTATTGACAAAATTTTACATGGCAAAATTATTTGATTTTAGCATTACGTAAATTACGATAAAGTAAACATGCTTTATAAAATACTTTTTCTGTTCAAAATTTTAAAATCGCCAATATGGGAACCACGAAAATGATGCTGTTTGAAAAAATAGTGTTACTTATTTCTTTGTGTAGATAATTTAATCTTATTTGATAAGTTGACCATAGTCGCACCCTTTGCACCCTGGTGAGTAGTCTGAGATTGACCTCTTTTTCTAATGCATCGACAAATCCGACGATTTAGGGCTAAAGAAGCCTTCCCGTAACGCTGGACTATATTTTCATTCCAATTCAGATTCTTACTGTTTAAATCATTTATTCAATCAAAAACTAGTTTACTTTTTCAGGATTTTTTCATTGCTCAAAATCCTCTTATGGTTGACTATCGCATATGAATATTGCCATTTCAGCTGACACCCTATAAAAAATACCCCAAAAATTTTTTCACATTGCTACCCAATGCTTTAACCCACAATTGCATAAAATCTGTAAATGCATTTTCACTATTAAATAACCAACCGAAAGGGAAGACAAGCAATTTGCTGACGCATAGTGATGTACTTATAAGTGGCCCCACAACTGGCGAAGCTCTTAACTAACTACACTCATTACAATAAATAAATATGCCCTCGAGTCGAATTTTTAAATTCCGCCACTCTTTCGCAATCAAAACTATTACCTTCAAAAACGATGCTGCGATGTCGAACAACATTGCCGTGCTAGTGCATCCAAGCTTGTCCTCGGTGAACTGTAAATAACCTTCCACTTCATCATTTTACTTACGACCTCATTAACTTGCATTTACACAAACAACACAAGCTAAGCACAAAGGCAGTGAGGTATACGCCAAGGCGCATAAAGCAAGCACGCACTAATACGCAGGAAATGAAAGTAACACAGACACAAAGTGTGAGTTAGCGCGTGGGCGATGGGTAGAGCGGAAATAAAATAATTTATTTTGGGGTGAGACTGAGCTGAAGACGTTCGGCAGACAATAACGAAGAAGAAGCTGGAGAAAAACACACAAATTCCGCAAAAGTAAATACATATAAACGACGGTAAAGTCCCAGCAATAATGAAAATCAAGGGAATAATAAACAAGTGGGAAATGAAGAAGGTATAAGTAGTAGCCGCTGAAAAGAGTACCCAGTAGGAAGCTCATCAAACACTGAACTAGTGCAGCTCTATTGAATTTAGAATGCCGACCAACGTCGTTTATTTCTCTTCCCGTTTACACTGGAATTAAAGGCAGGTGAATTTAAAGAGCGATGGCCTAAGATGGACATATCGAATTCCCACTGCCGCATCCCTTTTTGTAACTTACGAACTAGTTCATTCGAAGTCTGAAAATCTACATTTATGCAAAATTGAATATAATTGCGCTCATATTTCTGTCACAGATTAGGTACAGTGAAACCCGGTTAACAACAGTTATTCTGAGATAGAGAAAAAATTTTGAAAATTCTACTAGCTCAAAACAAGTTTAATTTCACTATTTTAGACTTTTTCCTGTAGGATACCTACTTGTAATCATAAATATATAAAATATGAATAGCTTAAAGGAGCTTTAGAAGTGCCTGCGTTACCACTTCATATTATGCCAAGCATTTTTTTCCCACTTCAGCAATGTTTAGTGAACAACACAAACACAATACTATAGACATACAGCTCGAGCTCTAAGTGCTTTTACCACCAAACCGGAAATTTTGTTATCATTTTAACTACACTTTTTGATACCCATCACAGCAGGTAATATGAAATGAGTAGTAGATAGTTATTTGTCATCACCACCGACACACAGTGCCGCCTAAGTGGGCATAAATCGAAAAATTCGTTATCTGCAATGTGAACTTGTCTGAAATTTTTGTAAAGGCAATTTATCCACTAAAAAGAATTAAACAGACATTTCCCTAAAAAATTAATTATATGCCGCCAGCAAGCCCCTAAAGTCGACAAATTTTATACTAAGAATTTTAATAAAGCATACCCAGGCGTAAGCTCTTCACAGAAAAAAATGTCAAAAATATATTCTTTGAAATAAAATGTTGGTTTGACGTTTCTTGTTTCCATATAGATAGTAGAGAATTACTGGAATTAAAATTTTGGAATAAAATTAAACACGGGGTGTCCCTGTGGTGTTCCAAAAACTCTATTTTTTTAAACAAAATTTAAAAAAATGCTAAACCTAAATGAAATAAATAAAAAATATATGTAAAAATAGGTTATTTTTTATAATTTTATTAAATAGCACGGGCTTTTAGCTTTCAAAGGAAGAAATAAAAACCTGCTCATTTTTTGCACTTTCTGAAGTAATTTGTTTTTCGCTAATGCATAAAATAATTTTATCATTTTTTCTCAGTGCCTTAAGATCTACACGATTCGTTCCATTTTTAAAAATGGAGTGTCAGATTAAAAAGCTTAACCTGTGAACAATAGAAGGTTTATTTTTTTTTTAATAGTTGCCACCTGTTAAAAAATTAGATTTTTAATAAGTTAGATCCAAATTTTCTTATAAGTTAAATGAGTTATTAAGAGATGGGTATCAATCGAAATGTGTATTAACAACATGTAGAGAGTTGCCACCTGTTTAAGAAATCAAATTCCACTTTATTTAAAGGAATTAGGTAATTGAAGTAGATAGTCACCATAAGGGAGTCAGACGAAGGAGGCTTAAGAAAGTTTTAGCTTAAAAATATAACGAATAGGGTTGCCACCTGTTTGTAAAGTCGAATTTATTAGTCGAATAATAATTACGTTAAACCATAGAATTACGCCATCGTATTTGCTGTTTTATTACAAATACTTACATTGTCAATCAGTGATTTGTTCTGATTACATTCCTTTTAAATTACTGGACTCTTAAATTAACTCAGGAATGTTTTAACTCTCCATTTATTTCTTGCTAAATATGTCAAATTTTTTCATTTGTCTGGTACTCATATTGAGATACATATTTCAGTTACCTTATTCCCTTAATTAAAGTGAATTTGATTTTTTAAACATGTGGCAAGCCTGATACGTGTCATTTCGAGGTAAAGTATTTTAAAAACTAGTTCAATTGATACCCATATTGTAATATCTAATTCATTTAACTTATTAAATAATTTTAATACAATTTGTAACAGGTGGCAACCCCTTCCAAAAATTAAAAAAACAAACTTTACTACACATCTACGGGCCAAGCCCTGTCATTTGACACCTCACTTTTGAAAATACAACGAACTATATGTACACACCTATGTAAAATCCACAAGAACCCAAATTTTCAACTTCAAACTGCATTTACAGTGAAAGTATGAAAGTTATCCAAAAACCAATTGCATTTTTGAATTCAGCGTCCTCAATTTTACTAAGAAGCGGATTTTAATTTAATACCGTCCATAATTCTATTTGTGATTTGGTTCTTAGTCCAGAAATAAAGAGACTTATGCGCCAAATGGATGATAATATCTTATCAAAAATATAAATTTAAAAAAATACCAAGACCTCAGATTCCGTCCTAACTAAAACCAACAATTGAATCTTGATGTTTATATATGTCTTAGATTAGTTAAAGATTCTTCTTCTTATTTAGCACTGTAACCGCCTAAGCGATTTTAGCCGAGTTCAACAAAGCACGCCAGTTGCAAATGCCATGTGAAGCCAAGTATTTCTCCATCTGGTATTTCCATCGCAGAGGGAGCTGCCCTCTTCCTCTGCTACCGCCAGGGGATTCCGATTTGAATACTTTCAAAGTTAGAGCGTCGGTATCTCTCCGAACGATATAACCCAGCCAGCGGGGCCGCTGTATTTTATTTCGCTGCACTATGTCTATGTCGTTGTAAAGCTCATACAGCTCATTGTTCCAGTGTCTGTAGTACTCGCCGTCACCAACGCTGAAAGGCCCGTAAATCTTGCGCAAAATCTTTCTCTCGAATACGTCAAGAGCCGCCTCATCGGATATTGTCATTGTCCATGCTTCTGCGCCATATACCAGCACGGGCATGATGAGTGACTTATAGAGCGTGGTTTTCGTACTCGAGAGAGGACTTTACTCCTGAATGCCTACTCAGTCCAAAGT